ACACTGCTCATATCAAGTAGGGACAAAATAAAGGTCACACAACTAATGCATGAGAGAGGCAGGTTGCAAATCCACTTTTTTTATGCCAAGTCTATCCATCTATCCACTATATCAATCTGCCTTTTACTTGATTTTTTTATTTTCTTAATAAGGCTAGCCTGCGTCTTCACTGAAAATACTTTAGACTTTCGTATTTATATATAATTTTACTCTTTTTTTCCTAAAATTTTCAAAATATTATGAAATGCCATGTAACAGCTGAAGTAGCCTGAATGGGTTATAAAAATTATTCTAGTCATGACTAAATATGCATTGTAAACCATAAAGCAGTGTAGTAAAGAGAAGCATTATTATTCTGCAAATAAAACATGTGAAGTATTTACTGATGAGGCTCAGGAGCACCCCAAAATGTTGGGGTGCAAGGCTGTCCCAAAAGAATTACCTCAGGCTGTTGTGGTTTGGGGTACTGGGAACCTTAAAATGTAAGGGTATAGGGTGAGTCTGTCTGAAAAGAATTAGACCACCTACGTCTTCTTTCAGTCAAAGTAGAGAGGTTTTATTGTAACACTAGTGTGGTGGGCAAATTCCTAGTAAATCTGTGAATTTGAGGAGGATGGGAGGATTTCAATCCAGGGGATTCTCCTCATTAATCTGCATACCACTGATTTGCTATTTTGTAAGGCTGTGAGGCTGGTTTGCCTTGCCTAGAAGGTCTCTGATTGGTCAATATAACATCTGACTGAATGAATAATGGGTTGCCCTCATCTGTATATACCAAATATACACAATGTTATGAGCTTTATAATTCTCTATCTTACTGTGAAATGGTATTCACATTAAAAGGTAGCACATTTAAACTCACTTTTAGAGGTGATTATAAATTGAAATTATAAATGCTATGTGTGAGTATAGAAGAGAATTTGGCCAAGCTGAAAAACATTGAAGACTGAAAGATGAGCACTGGGTAGAGAAGCAGCTTCTCCTGGTGCAGATTTTGTTGCACGTCCCACTAAAAATGTGTACAGCCCAGAGCTGTGGCCAGACACACGGACTTTGACCCCTCTTGTGCTTCCATGACAGGTTCCTACGCGTGCATACTCTCTGCCATAAATACTGAGTGCATTGATGGGAGAATGTGACCCAAGCTTATTTGTGGACTGTGATATATTTTATTATTTATTCATTTGCTTTAATGTGCATGTATCTATAATGTCATTTTTCTTTGTATAAATTGTTGGTTTTAATATATGATAGTGTCATTATTGGGGACAGGATTGACTAGAAACACACTGTTGTAAGCTCAAGTTATATTAGTGAGTTGTATACTTTTCCCTCCATGGGATTACACCTAGAACTGAAAAAATTTTGAGTGTAAGAGTGTGATGGTAATCCTGCTAGTGAGAGAGCAGTTTAGAGTAATGGAGCTAACTCAGACAATCAATCTACATGCCCCATGCAAGAAGCAGCATTGGGGTAGGGGGAGGATCCATACTTTAGCCATGCCAAACTGGTAATATAGAAAGTTCAAATACAGTAATAAATTTTTCACTTACTGCACTATCAAAAATGTATCTTGTGAAGAGAACAACAACAAAAAGACAGAAAAAACTCCTCCCTCAAAATGAAGCCCTACTTTTCTAATTTGATTTATGTGTATATATGTGCATGTGTATTCATATATATATCCATATATACACTTACATACACATACATACACATATATACGCATATACATAAATTCGTTCACACATATGCATAGGCACACCTGTGGACATATATGCATATATAACACATGTATGTTGTATATGTACCTATAGACATATACGTATGTACACATACACACATACACATGTGTGTATGTATATATGTGTATGTATATGTGCATGTGTGTGTGTGTGTGTGTGTGTGTGTGATGCCTGGCTAGAATTCACTAGAAGAAAGATATTATCTAAAAAGTTTCTTTTACGCACATGGGAGAATTCATGGAACATATTCTGCCTTTAGCTTTGGAGGCATCTCTATGCTGTCTTTAAATTTTACTTTCCAAAATAAAACTATGAAGGTCATTCAACTTGGATGGGTTTCAGTATGATGGTTTTGGTATTTGCAGACCATGTGTGAAACAGGAAACAGAAGCATCCATGTTCTACAAGTAGGTAATAGATGAAGATGATTTTGTTTTTTCAGATGGAAATGGACTTCAAGCTGGGAAACCTCATTCAGCAGAAAACTTAAGTATAAGATGGCTGCAGTTTTCTTGTATTGCTCTACACTCTTATTTCTGCCCATTAGAGCCCATTTTCACTCAAGAGCTGGCATGTTGTCTTCAAATACAGATTGACAGAAATATTAACTTTGCATTTCACTTTAGAATCTGCCTTCCTATCTCTTTTGGCTCCAGACTTATTTGCTTCAAAGAATATTCTTCAAATAGGTTACACTTTTGTAAAATGGCTGTAGAATGTGAAACAAGTTACTATAACATGAAGCAAAAGGAAAAGACCAATTTATCAATGGATGATATTTAATATTGGGAATCCTGAACCACACTCTGTTGGTAACTTTTGAGCATTTTCCCCATGGCTTCCTTTGAGAAATGAATAGTAATGCTTTCTTGTTTGATGTCAATCAATTTTATATAGATGTGCCCAGCCCTTTGTTCCCCAGACAGACTTACTACTCTTTTGAAGTCTGCCCCCGCCCAATCTACCACAAGCTAGGTTTTTCCAACATGAGGTAATACAGAGAGTATCATGGAATTGGATGGACATCCTCCTCAGTCTGAATAACTCCAACCAGTTCAGTAAACCTGTTTAATCTTGTCAACCTTACCTGCCTCCATTCCAGTTCTGGTTTTCCTCAATGCCAGCTACCCTGACTAAACTTTAGTTTATCCAAGATATTTTCAGTCAGTCAGCCAATCAATAAGCAATGTTAAATGCCTATTATGTGTCAGACACTGTGCTAAGCATTGAGGATACAAAAAATAAGGCACAAGATAATTTGTTTTCTCTTCTCTCTTGAGGAGCTTACAATCTAAGGGAGGGAGAAAACAAACAAATACATGTAAATAAAATATAGACAGGATACATAAGAAATAATCAACAAAGGGAAAACCCTAAAATTAAGAGAGGTTGGAAAAGACTTTCTGTAGAAGCTGGGACTTTAGTTGGGACTTGAAGCCAGGGAAACCAGGAAACAGGGATGAGGAGAGTGAGCATTCCAGGAATAGAGGATAGACAGGAAAATGCCTGGAGCTGAGAGATAGAGTGTCTTGTTTGAGGAACAGCAAGGAGGCTGGTTTCATTAGATGAATGTGTATGTGATAGGAAATAAGGCACAAGAAGACTGCAAAGGTAAGGATTTGGAATTTAGGTTATGAAAGGCTTTGAACTCTAGAGAATTTTGTATTTGACTGTGGAAGTGATAGGGAACCACTCGAATTTATTGAGTAAAGGGATGACATGGTTGAACCTGAGCTTTAGGAAAATCACTTTGGCAACTGAAGAGAAAATGGATTGGAGTGGGGAGAGAATTTTGTCAAGCAGATCAACCAGCTGGCTACTGTGGTAGTCAAAGACTGGGGTGATGAAGGCATGCACCAGGGTGGTAGCAGTATATGAGGAGAGAAAGAGTAATATTTTAGAGATATTGTAAATGTGAAATCAATTTGTTATTGTTCTTTAGTTGTGCCTGAATCTTCATGATCCTATTTGCAGTTTTCTTGGCAAACATACTGAAACAGTTTGCCATTTTCTTTTCCAGCTCATTTTGCAGATGAGGAAACTGAGGCAAATAGGGTTAAGTGACTTGCTCAGGGTCACATGGCTAGGAAGTGTCTGAGGCCAGATTTGAGCTCAGAAAGATGATTTTTCCTGACTTCAGGACTGATCCTCTAACCACTGCACCACCTAACTGCTACCTAGCTGCCTTAGCAAGAAATTGGCTATGGGAGGATGACAGAAATTGAGGAACCAATGACAACATCTAGGTTTTGAGTCTGGAGGACTGAAAGGATGGTGGTACCTAGAGAGTAAGAAGGAAGTTTGGAAGAGAGGACATTTTAGAAGGAAAGATAATGAATTCATTTTTGGACATGTTGAGTTAAAATGTCTACTGGGCATCCAGTTAGTTATGACTAAAAGGCAATTAAAGATGTGAGAATGGTGGTCAACATAGAGGTTAGGACAAGATAGGTCAATTTTAGAATCATTAGTATGGACACGGTAATTAAATTCTTGGGAGCTGATGATACCACCCAGTGAAGTGCTATAAGAGGAGAAGAGAGGGTGATTTAGTACAGAATCTGGTGGAACATCTATGTTAAATGAGTATGATTTGGATGTGGATTTAATGGAAGAGACCGAAGAGTGGTTACATAGGTAGGAGAACCAGGTGTCCTGAAAACCTAGAGAAAAGAGACCATGAAGGAGAAGAGGATGACCAGCAGTGTCAAAGGCTACAGGAGAGGTCAAGAAGAATGAGGATTGAGAAAAGACCATTAAATTTGGCAACAGGAGATCATTAGTAACTTTGGAGAGAGCAGTTTCAGTGGAATGATGAGTTCAGAATCCAGATATGGATTTTTGACAAAGTCGCTGGCATGCAGAAAATGAATTTGGTAGGTTAGCACAGAGTAGTGGAAAGGTTATTGAACTTGTAGTTAGAAGGCAGTTCAAAGCTCAACTGAGATATTCATTAAGTTTGTAACTCAGTTTCCCTATCTGCAAAATTAAGGTAATATTTCCACTACCTATCTTAACAGAACGGTTGTGACAAAAGCATTTTGTAAAGCTAAAAACAGTTGTTACATGTAAGATACTATTGTTATTGCACATTAATTATTGACAAGACCTATCAGCAATACTAGCTGGGCTTTACCTTAAGAAAAACCAAAACAAAATCAAAGTTAAGTAAAACAAAAACTAGATGTACAAGGCACATAAATCAGGAGATGAATATTGCTTGTCAAAAGATTCTATACTACACAAGGGTATCACCTCAGTTTTCTTCTGTAACATACGCTTCTCTAGTGAATTTACAAGTGAATGTGAGATGCGGATAGACTACTAACTTGGAGTCAGGAAGACCTTGGAATTCTGCCTCTGGGATGAGATAGCTGCATAGCCATTGTTAAGTCATTCAGCCTCTCTGTGCTTCAGCGCTCCCTCCTCTGTAAACTGAGATCATAATACCTATAGGATCTACCTCATGAGGTTGTCATAAATATCAAATTAGATAATGTGTGCAAACTGTTTTATGAATCTTAAATCATTAGGCAACAGAGAGATAATGCTTGTTGATAGAAAAAAAATCCTTAGGGGTCCCCAATCCTATTTCCTGGGAAATCTCTGTAACCTGGAGATGAGTGGAATTGAGGTTATTAAGACACATAGACCTGTCCTCTCAGTTTAAAGGATGAGGCAGCTGGAGTCACTCAGAAGGGTATAACCTCTACCTCCTCCCTCACCCCTACTCACACACCCACCTAGCATACCACCTCACCAGTATAGCACTGCTAGAATCATACACATGTTAGCAATCATGATTAATTTATACTTTTATCCTTCAGCAAAGTCTTGGATTTAATCATATAAAGACCCTGGTATCTCAGGAAGTACAAATTTATTACCAGAAAACTTGAATTCCTAAGGTTATCCCAAGATAGCTCTGGACCCCCATACAGAGATGAAGTTCCGAAGGAGTTACTCTAACCCCTGGTCTTTGCAATAATAAATATATTAATATTACCTTATTTCAGCTCCTGGTCCCTTTGAAAGAAGCAACCTTCAGGCATCTCCCTCCCCTTGTTTGTTAAGAAAGCATTGTAAAGCAACAGGATATCTTCTCTTGGGTATATTTCCTTTGAAACTTGGTGCTACTTAACTCATTGCAGTCTGTTCCTTATGTGTAAGGTGAACTTTCAAACTCTGTAATTGTGAGTAAATCAAAAGAACTATTGCTGTTTCTAAGCTGTGCAGTGAAGGTGAATTGAACATCTGCATTAGTGGAAGAAGTTTCCATATTGGTTCCCTACACCAATAAATCCAAAGTTCAAGCCATATAATTTCATATGTGTGTCTGTATGTACAACTTAGACTGTATGTATAGACAATCCATTTCTTATATAGGAGCAAAGAAACATTTTAATGAATGGTTTTCTCTAATTATTAGTAATTTGGTATATTCATTCATATGTCTGTTTATAGTTTCAATTCTTTCTGTTAGTTATACTTTTGTTAATCATTCAAAGCACTAGCTTTCAGTTTTGTTATTTTTATCTTTGATGTTATTTGACCATTTATGTATTAGAAGACGGTTTGTGGTCTCATATATGTTGTTGTCAACCTCTATTGGATAGCGAAAACTTATTTAAGGAATTTGATACAATGATTTTTGCCATAGTTAATTGTTGCCCCTCTCATCCTAGAGATTTTGCTGTTGTTTGTGAAAAAGCTTTTCAATTATATGTAATCATAATTTTCTATTTTTTTTCTTCTGTAATTGTCTTTGTTACATATTTGCTTCAGAATCATTCTTTTAGCCAAAGTCATGAAAGGTATCAAATATACTTCTTTTTTATAACATGATTTTTAATATTCAGGTTATACATCAATTTTAAATTTATTATGGAATATGATATAAAATGTTGATCTAAATCTACTTTCTGCCAGACTGCATTACAGTTTTCCCAGAAGTTCTCATCAAGTAAAGACTTCTTTTTTCTAAGTAACCTATATTTGAGGTTTTATTGAACACTTGAGTTATTGAGTTTCATTATTTATGATTTTCCTGTTATGTAGTCTTTTTTTATTCCTCCTCCTCTATTTTTTTTAATAAATCAATGCCAATGATACTTTTCATGATATTAAAAAGGGGTCTATGTCTATATTTTGTAGTGGTTTTTGTTTATTTGTCAAAAGCTATTTCTTTCTGTATCTGTTTGAGATAATCATGTGGTTTTTGATTTGTGTGTGTGTGTGCACGCATGTGTGTATGTTTTGGGTTTATGTTGATTGTTTTCCTAATGTTGAACTGTCCTTGCTTGCCTGGTATAAATTCATCTTGGTCAGAATGAATGAAATCTTGGATTCATAACTTTAGTCTGTTGGACAGGATTTTATTTAAAAGTTTTTGAATCAATATTCATTAAAGTTATTAGGTCTATATTTCTATATTTCATCTTTTCCTGGTTTAGATATTTAGCACTGTATATATTCCATGATATGAATGTGGTAGAGTTCTTTCTCAGTGCTATGAATGATTTGTGTAGCATTGGTAATTATTTATTCTTAAATTGTTTCATAGAATTGTCCTGTAAATCCTTGAGGACTAGAAAACCAGCACTCCCTTTCACTGGCCATGAGTAATTCCTTTAGAGCTAGTTCTGTTTCTTATTCTTAGATTTAATTATTTAAGATCTCTATTTGGTGCCCTAATAGTCTGGATAGTTTCTATTTTAGAAGGTGATCTCTGTGTGTTTGTGTGTGTGTGTGTGCTTGTGTGTTCTTAGTTTTGTCAGCATATAACTATATATAGAAAGTTTGGATCATTAAAAACAACATTTTTTTCTCATGGTTTGAGATGTAATTTCACTTTTTTCATACACTATTTTGTTGATTTGATTTTCTTTCCTTTAAAAAATCAAGTTGGGGGGCAGCTAGGTGGCGCAATGGATAGAGCTCCGGCCCTGAAGTCAGGAGGACCTGAGTTCAAATCCAGCCTCAGACCAAACACTTGACACTTACTAGCTGTGTGACACTAGGCAAGTCACTTAACCCCAATTGCCTAAAACAAAACAAAACAAAAACTCAAGTTGGCTAAAAGTTGATAAGTTTTTGTTATTTTTTTCTCAAGTACCAGCTTTTAGTTTTATTATTGCTATGGCTGTGATATTCTTCTCTCTATCTTAATCATTACCTTCTACTATTCTTAGCCAACATTCCAGTCACTTCTCTTTGTTTCTCTCCTCCATAGCTTTCCTTAAGGACATTCCATTCACTGTCTTGTGCCATCCTAGTTTCCTGCAAGTCTCCTCAACAGAGGCTAGTTTGCTCACCAATCCCTTTCACTGTGTCCACAATTCAGATGTTCACCTCTCTCTCCAACTTTCTCAGGAAAACTGCAGTGTAATATTGGCTTATACTGAAAGAACCACCAGATGTTTTTACAGCTCAAAAATATCTTCTTATTCTTAAACCCCCTTTACTCTTAAAATCTCCATTGTCCCAAACTTTACATGAGAGGCCATCAAGAGTATAGGGATATACTCTCCTCATCCTTCACAAGCTAGTCTCTTTCTCTGAGCTCAAAAAGACTCTCAGAGACTCATTACTATTTTCCTTTTTTTCCTCCAGTTTTGGGGTAGTGTTCTTCTAATGGCCCGCTACTTTGAGGATTCATTTAGGAAGCTTCCCCCAATTGTCTTTTCAACTACCTTCTTTCCTTGCAGGAAAGCTCACTAAGCGAAAGGTCATGTTTCATTATACATTTTTTTCTTTTTAAACTATTTATTATGTATTTTAATATTATCTTTAAAAATTGAGTTTCAAATACTTTCACTCTCTCCTGCCTCTCCTCCATCCACTAGGAAGGCAGGCAATATTATATCAATTATACATGAGAAATGATGCAAAACATATTTCTATATTAGCCATATCACAAAAAAAATTCTTAAAAATGAGAAAACTATACTTCAATTTGCATTCAGAGTTCATTAGTTATTTCTCTGGAGGTGGGTAGCATTTTTCACCATGTGTCCCTTGAAATTGTCTTGGATCAATGTGTTGACCAAGTAGCTCAGTCTTTCACAGTCAATCATCAGTACAATATCGCTATTACTATGTACAATGATCTTCTGGTTCTGCTCACTTCAATTTGCATCAGTTCAAATAGGTCCTCCCAAGTTGTTCTGAAGTCATCCCCCTTGTCTTTTTTTTTAATAGCACAACAATACCACTATCACAAACATATGCCACAACTTGTTCAGCCATTCCCCAGTTAAGTAGCATCTTTCCCCAATTTCAAGTTCTTTGCTACCACAAAAAGAGTTTCTATAAATGCTTTATTTTTGTATATATAGGTCCTTTTCCTTTTTCTTTGACCTCTGGGGTATAGACTTATTAAAGTTACTGTTGGTCAAAGGGTATGCACAGTTTTATAGTTTTTGTGGATAGTTTAGGATTGTTTTATAGAATGGTTGGACCAATTCACAACTCCACAAACAGTTCATCATTTTGTCTTCCAGCATTTGTCATTTCTGATACGTGTGAGGTGGTATCTCAGAATTATTTTAATTTGACTTTCTTTAATCAATAGTGATTTAGAGCATCTTTTCATATGACTATAAATAGCTTTCATTTCTTCTTCTGAAAAATTGCCTGTTTATATCACTTAAAAATTTATCATTTGGGGAATAGCTCTGATTCTTAAAAATTTGAGTTAGTTCTATATATGTTTAAGAAAAGAGGTCTTTATCAGAGAAACTGCACATTGTGTGTGTGTGCGTGTGTGTGTGTGTGTGTGTGTGTGTGTGTGTATGTGTTCATTATCTATGGTAACTTTTATCATAGCAGTTTCCATGATTATCTCTTTTAATTGTCTACTTTTGCTTTTGCTTTCTCTGAGATCATGATTACTACCCTGCCTTTTTTTTTACTTCAGTTGAAACATAATAGATTCTGCTCCATCTCTTCATAAGACTCTGAGTCTCTGATGTTTTATCTTTCATGTTTACATTTTTATTTGTCCCTTCAGGTTTGTGTTTGAATGTCAAATTTTCTATTCAGCTCTAATCTTTTTATCAGCAATGCTGAAAAGTACTCTATTTTATTAAGTACCCATTTTTTCCCCTGAAGGATTATATTCAGTTGTGCTGTGTAGGTTATTCTTGGGTGTAACCCTGGCTCCATTGCCTTGTGGAATATCACATATTGCAAGTCTTCTGCTTCTTTGACATGGATGCTGCCAAATCTTGTATGTGGCTCTGTGATATTTGGATTTTTAAAAAAATTTGTTTGTTTGTTTGTTTTCTGACTACTTATAATATTTTCTCCTTGACATGGGAGTTCTGGGATTTGGCTATAACATTCTTGCA